GAATGCTAGGATTTTACATGAAAACCAAAGAGCTGAGTTTTGAAAGGAGGAGAAATGCTTTGCAAGCACCAATCCCATTGAGGCCCTGTGGTGAGAGAAAACAGTAACTCCTATTTGAGAGGAATGAGAGGTGGCAGTGTCCCAACTCAGGTTCTGAGGGACAGAAAGTTTTAGTCTGGGTAGAAGATGTTCAATGTTTAGAGAAGATGAAGAAAAGAGGGAGTTTGAGATGATGATGACAAATCCCAAAAGCAGTATATGAGTTAAGAGAGTGAGTGGGTCAGACAAAAAGATGGACACAGGAGCAGGATGCGCTAAATACAGTTAGCCAAACACAATACACAAAGATAACCATAATAATGGCTGACCAAGAAGACTGGGCCTTCTGAGAATATGAAGATCAAAGTTATGGAGCATGACCAGATTATCTGAGATGGTCTCGAATATGCAAGGTGTCAATCTAAACTAGAAAAATGGCATCAACTGGGCAAATGTCTTCTGCTGTCAAAGACCAAGGCCCCAAGGCAAGGTTCCCTCCTCCCCGGCCCTCTTCAATGCCCCTCAGTTTCTCCCTCTTGTCTGTACCTGGAGTTCGTCTTCGGTCAATCAGGGAATCCTTGGGTGTCATTGGCTCATCGTCAAAGTCAAACTCCGTTGGCATGTGCGGTCTGGAACAGGCAGAAAAGCGAACAGAAGGGTGAGGGTGCCATTTCCCCAACACCCACCCAAGCGCCTCGCCCCAGCCTGCCTGCTCCTGCTCTCCCTTCCTTCCTCCACACTTTTCCCGCTTCCTACACTCTTTCTCTTCCCCTATTTCCCCCCTGGCATCAGAGGAGATGCTCCCGGGGCAAGGTGGAAGGAAGGAAGAGCCCTCACTTTTCCTCCTCCTCCTCCTTGGCTTCGGGCTCCTCGTCGGATCGCTCCTCCTCGCTCTGGGCCTCGGGGGTGGGCGGCCGGCGGGGCAGGATCTCCGCCTGGAGCTCCAGGGTCCCGTGGGCGGCCAGCAGCTCATAGAGACGCTGGATTTCGGCGGGCGGGGGCATCCAGGACTGGCCGTCGGCCGGCAGCTCCAGCTCCTCGTCGCTGCAGGCCACGCACCAGTCCTCCGCGTCCCCCTCTGCGGGCTCTTGCCCTGCGGCGCTAGGGGCGTCTTCCTGGGCCTCCGGGCCCCCGGGCCCCGCGCGCTGGGCCTCCTCCCGGTCACCTTCCCTGTCTTCTTCGGCCTTATTAACCGAAGCAGGAGGACCTCCGGGGTCCTCCACGGCCAGCGCCTGGAGGCCGGAGGTCATTTCCCCGTCTTCAGACAATGGCGCCGCCGCAGTGGCCACAGCTTCCCCATGACCCCTACTAAGGGACATAGGCCACTAGGGAAGGGGTCTTGCGAAGACAAGGAATGCGGGGATGCAGCCGTCCACTCCCAGGGGACCCGGCTCCAATGGGGCTCTCCAACCAATCAGACTCCTGCAAGCGATCCTCTGTCAGACCGCCGGTCCCCAGAAGGGGGCGCTCAGCCCCCACCCCAACTGACCCCGATATTTCCGGGGACTGCAGAAACCCCTATTCTGAGCCAGAGAAGTCAAGGAGAGGGGCAGGCCCACTCTCCTCGCCTTCACACCGTCTCTCTCTACACTTGCACCGGGGGCCCAATCCTCAGGCCTTGCAATTCGAGAACAACGCCAATTCCGTTGGCGACGAAGGCTCACAGTACCCAGGCGAACAGGGATGGCGCGAGACGCTCCTTCCTTATTAAAGGCGGGAAGGGAAGGCTTGCACATGCGCAGAATGGGGAACTCAGGTATAAGCGGCTTCGGCCCACAGTAAAGATGGCTGCCGGGCCGACGCATGCGCATGTCGCTCAATACCATTGGGCAGGTGTTGTGCCAACGCAAAGACCAACTGAGGCTTGAGGTGAGTCTCATGCAGTCTCCGTTTATTGGTGTTTCAGACCCATGCAGCAGCATCCGGCATACAAAAAGGGGGAGATCAGTTTGATAAATGTGTATTAGGAATTCTAGTTTTACACACTCACACTTAAAAAACAAACAAACAACAAAAACCCCTCGTCAGCTCCAAACACTTTCTTAACTCGATTCCCAGCCTCCCCTTCCGGCCGTCGCGTGCATAAGCAAACCTCCCTTGTTCTCTTAGAAAATAAGTAACACAGCTCCCCATCTCTTCCTCTCTCCCTGAGGTTGGGAGCTTTGGTCCTATATCTTGGATTTTTTTCCTTACAAAGATGTGAATGGTCTGAGCTCTGATGCCTTTCGAAAGAAACAGACGGACGGGTGATAATAAAAAGCCCAGATGGGGCAGGTCAACAAGACTGAAATGGGGACGAGTCACCTGTGGTGTCTCTCCTTCCCCTCCCTGTCCTTGTTTGGAAGACGCCCTGGCCACTCTACACATGCCCCCCACCCCCCACCCCGCGACAAGGCTTGGCCATAAACTCCGCGATCTGCAAGGCACCCAGGGGGCCTCTGGGCCTGACTGATCCCAGCAGAGAACAGTCAGGAGCCCCTGGCCCCAGAGTAGGGGAGCCCTCTCCATATACCCCCTACCCGCAGCCTGATCGTAGTGCTGGAGGCTTTGTCGAATAAACAGTGGAAAGAGGGTGGAAGGGAAGATGCTGAGGGGCGAGGGGCGTTGAGGTGGGAAAGAGGAAGGAAATGAGGATGTGGAGAGGAAAGGGAATATGATAAGGGAGAGAAGGAAGGAAGGAATGATGAAGATGTCAAGACAGAGTTGGGCTGGGAGGTGGGGACCGAACCGAGGGCCCTCACTGGCTGAGGTGCAGGAAGGCTGAGAGAGTGCAGAGAGTTTGGGAAATGTTCAGGAAAGCTGGCAGAAGTGCACGGAGGTTTCAGAAATGCAAGGAGGAGGAGGCCCAGAGGCTGGAGGGGATGCAGGCAGAAGTGCAGGGAGGTTGGAAACAGTGCAGGGAGAAGGGAGGCCTACGGTTGTAAGAGGAGCCTGGCAGGATGCAGGAGCAGGAAAGAAGCTGTAAACAAGGTTGCTCAGGCTCCCTTGGTCCCTAAGGGTGGGGGCCAGGGCCATCAACTGGGCTCCCCCCAGGGGAGGGATGGACCCAAGGCAGCTCCCAACAGGAAGAAAAGTCTTGGGATGCGGGGCAGAGCCCCTCACTTATACACTGTGGGAGAGGAGAGGGAGGGACAGACAGGAAAGGTGGGAGGGTGGGGAGAGACAAGGAGAGACAAAGGAGAAATAGGGAGACAGACAGGAGAGAGCAGGGGCAGGGGTTAGTAAAACTTCCCTTGCCAACCCTTCCACTCCTCCCAGCGTGTCCCTGAGCCCCACTCACCGCCCAGGTTGATGACACAGGAGGCGATGATGATGAGGACCCCCCCTACCAGCGCCACGATGCTTAAGAGCTTGGCTACTCGGCCCAAACGCTGGGCCCCATCCACGTCCCCCTGTTGCAGGCTGTTCCGGGACTGGGGTTAGAGTGAGGGTGGAGATCATCATGGGCCAGGTCAGCAGAAGCCCACCAGAGATCAGGTGAGAGAGTCATCCAGTGGAGATAGGTCGGCCGGTGGACAGTGGTTAGGAAGAAAGGAGGATTGGAGAGGCAGGGGGCGGAGGGCACAGGTCAGTAAGGCTGTGTAATCATGTGACATCCCTCCCAACAAAAAGGGTAGAGCAGTCGTGGCTCAGAGGGTAAAGTACTGGGAGTACAAGCAAAGGCCCAGTAATTGGGGTGGCAGGCTCCATGCAGAGAGGGAAGGCAAGGCAAGGCCTGGGGCTCCGGCCTGGTGCCAATAGGAAGTGCACCATGGGCCTGGGCCAGGGTCCCACAGGGCTCACCATGACGGCATAAGCGAAGGCCACGATATTGACAGGCCACATGGGGCAGAAGCAGGACAGGATGGCGAGGATGATGTAGTCTCGTGGTTTCTGAGCACCTTCACCTCCCTCCACCCCAGGCCCGGCCAGCTGGGAGCTGGGGTGGCGGCTCAGGCTCCCTCGAGGTGACCCCGGATGCCCACTGTGAACCCTTCCTAATCTATCCTCCTCAACCAGCTGCTGCAGCACTCTGGGGGGAGCCCCGTTGGCTGGGGGGGTTTTGGTTGAGGGTGGTGAGTGAGGCTGAGGGGCAGGGCCCTCTTCCCCATCACCAGCTTGAAGGGGGACCACAGCCCCATTCTCCTGCTTTTCTCCTAGACTTTCTGTGAGGGCCTCAGGGTTGGGGTCCACCTGCGTAGGAGGTTCTGGAGGGTGGTCTGGTTTAGGAGTGTCCTGGGAATCTGGCTGAGGGTCTGATTTGGAGTGTTGGTGGGGAGTAGGCTCTGAAGCTGGCAAAGGCGGGGCTCCAGATTCCGGCTCAGAAGCTCCCTGTCCTGCGGTGGCCTCTGTGCGCACCCCGGATTTGGATGCTGGGTCTTTACTTGCTTCTTCCTGGCTGGAGCTGGTCTTTAATTTCCCTCCTGGGCTTGGACTCAGGTCTGTGGCCTGAGCAGTTTTAGGGGCTCCAGCTGGGGTCTCTGTGGTTCCCGAAGCCAGCTCAGCCTTGGACCCTGAGTCTAAAGGGACCCCACTGGTGTCTGAATCTGGCTGCTTGGCCTCTGGCTCATCTGAGACCCCAGGTGGGCCCCGAGGAGGAGGGCCAGTTTCAGCTTCAGGATGGCTATGCCCATCTCCCTGGGTCTGGGGACCCTCAGTGACCCCCTTCATCTCAGAGCCCTCAGTGGTGCTGGCTGCCATTTTGAGATGGGAGAAGGGAGAGGGCCTTGGTGGGGAGTATGGAGCAGCGGGGACAGCAGCAAATCCTGCAAGAGGAGGAGAGACAGGCTTATGTGAGGAAGAGGTGGCCAGGTCTCTGCACTGTGAGCCCACAGCCGCCCTGCTCCTGTCTCAATGCCGCTCTTGGGCTGTCTCTGGGGAGAAGGAAAAAAAAGTTGCGGTTTCCTTTCCTTCCTTGGGGTGGGAGATCCCAGGGCGAGGAGGGATGGTCCCCTCAAAGTCTATTCTGTGTAGAGAGCCGTGGGAGATCAACCCTTGTGTGCAAAGGACTCTTGCCACGGCCTCTCCTGGGTTCTTTTTTTCTCAGGGAGATGCAGACTCAGACGATTAGCTGCCCTAGCACGATTAGCTGCCCTAGCACTCGCAAACCAACGAGCTATGCAGACCCAAGGAAAGTCTGCCAGGCCCCCAGAGCAGAGGGACCGACATCCACATTCCACTCGCAGGCGCCCTCCCCTCCTCCCTGGGCGCCCGGGCGGTGCGGTTTTCTTGCTGCGTGAAGCGAGCGCAGACACCTCCGCCCCTCCCCGGGCATCTCCTCCAAACCCCTTCCCAGCCCTTCACCCAGGGATTCTCTCACTCCTGGGGGGTCGCCGTCTCCTCCCGCTTTGGCTCAGCGCGCCTAGCACCACCAGCCTTCCTGCCAGGCACCCGCATTCCTGTGCAGCCCGCCCGATGTCCGCCGTCTGTCTGTCCACTCCTCCCCGCAGCCTCCGCAGGTCCCCGTCTCACCTCGACGCCGGCCTCGAGACTGCTCCCACCGCTGCCGCTGCTGCAGCAGCCGCAGCCCGGGAGGGAGCGCGTCAGCGAGCGAGCGAGCGAGCGGGCGCGGGCGGGCGGCTAGGCTGCTGCGGGTCTTCCCTCTCCCCTCCCGTCTGCTCGTCCCCTCCCCTGCGCTCCGCCGCCACGCACCGCCCCCGCCCCTCCCTGGCGGCCCCGGGGAGCCACTAGTGCGGGGCCCTGCGTTACCAGGGCAACTGGCCGGGGGACCACTCGTGCCCCCTCCCTGTGCCCTCCCACGCGCCCCTCCGGGGGTGCCCCTTCTCCAAGCCCACGACCCCTCCCGCTAACGGTCACCAGGGGTCCTGGCAGAGGTACAGGGCTGTGCGAGGAGACGGAACCAGAGAATCAGGCAGGTCCTGGTGGAAGCACCCCTTCTGGGATACTGGAAGGGGAACTGAGAGGGGGCCAAGTCGGAGGAGGCTGCAGAGATGCGGGGTGGGGTTTCAAGAGAAAGGAGGCTGCAGAACAGAGTCCCTCCACCCTAAAGAAAGAGCAGCAGCATCAGAAACGGGAACTTTCAAGCTCTTGAGTCGGGAAGGGACGGAACAGGCGGTGGCAAGGCCAATTCCTAGAAGCAAGGCAGCCTGTGCCGCAGGACGGGTTAACTGGCAGAGAAGCCCCGTAGACCGAGGGTAAACAGGTAGCTTAGACCAAACCAACAGTTTTCATTTCTATTTTGGGTCCTCCGATTTTCCCCGTATTTGTGCACCTTTCAGAATCGTAATGGGGTGCACGTATTAGTGGGGAGTGAGCAGCCGGCGGTGGGTGTGGCTGGGAGAACAGCTTTATTCTACCAGCTGTTTTGGGGTGCTAATCAGGGCCGTGGCAAACCTCCAGCGGGCTATTTTAGGCTTGTCTCTGGCATTCCTGAGATTGGAGGATCAGGGACTTGGTCCCCCAGTCAGTTGCTTTGGTCTCACTCCAATCTGGGATGCAGTCAAAGTTACCACCTCCTCTGTGGCAAGAGGGACCAGAGCTCAGAGCAAGGATGAGGCTTAGACCTGTGACATCAGAAACCTCTTGGATGGAAAAGGGGCTTGGTGAGGGAAACTCATTTGACAGAGAGCCAGAAGCAGATTTTTATTTAAAATTTATTGTAATGGGGTCCGCGCAAGGAGGGGAGGAGGGCAGGGAACATGCAGGAGACACGGGAACACGATGACATGGCCAGGGCCACAGCTTTAGTGGGAAGGATGAGAGGAAAAAGAAAAAAGAAACAAACAAAAAAAGGCCAGCTCTGGAGCCAGGGTAGAAGAGGGAAGGTGAAGCCACTGTAGCTGTGCCCCCATTACAGGAAGCACCTCTATCCCCTAGATCCCACCATTTACCCTGGCCCCCTCCTAAGATTCCATCTCCTGTTCTGACTCTGGCACTAGTGGCTCCTCCCTTTGCTCCCCTAGACCTGTTTCTCCTGACAAGATTCTCTAGTCTGGGTGATGTTCAGGATCTGACCCCAAACACCTCCTCATGAGGGTACAATCACTACCCTCCCTATTTCTGTGTCTCATTTTTGCCTTGTTCCATCTGGGACAGAATCTTTTGATTCCCCTCCTTTCCCTCCTTCCTCCCCCTGAGGGAAAAAAAAGAAAAGGAAGAAAAGAAGCACCAACTCCCCAGGGAGGGGCAGCAGACAGTAGAAGGGGAGGGAGTCAGGAGGAGAGCTTGAAGGACCACCGAGAAAGAAGGCTCTCAAATACCTGGGAGGGCAGGGCAAGGCAGGGCAGGGGCTTACAGAGAAGAGGAGGGGTGAGAACAGTGGCCACTCCTGTCCTCTGCCACCCCTGCCTACTGTCCAGGGGAATTCAACACAACCAAGAGGACAAGTGTGTGTGGGGTCAGTTCATAAGGAGAATAGAGGAACAGGAGAAACAAATTGTTAAAACCTAGTTAATTCCCCTACGAAGACCAAAGACGTGGCTTCTTCCTCCTTTCTGGTTGGAGGCTTCTTGGTTGGTGGGGCAAGTAGCGAGGAGTTGGTGGGAAAAAGGGGGACGGAGAGAGGACACCAAAGAACTTTCCTCCACTCTCCACTCCCACCAACTTGGAGCTCACCAGGGCTGGGAGGGAAGTGGCTGAGAGCTCACAGGCACCCCCTCAGCCCCTGAGAGGGAGCCCACGGCTGTGGGTGGCGCAACCACTGCTGTTGCTGCCGCAGCTGCTGCCGCTGCCGCCGCCGCCATTGGGCAGACCTCACCAGTACCTGTAGTGAGAAAACAGAACATCAGTGAGATCCCAACGCCAACAGCCTTGCTCCTCATCCCAGACTCTCTTCCCCCCGGGACACAGCCGTTGCTTTCTGTTTGGTTCCCAGAGGCTGGAGCCTGCATTCTTACCCAAACAGAACCATTCTCCTGGAAGTTGGCCCTGTCCCAGAAGTATCCCTAACCTAGGCGATGGAGGGGCACCCCTGGCCTTCCTGCCATCCCCTATTGGGCCCTCTGAGTCCCTTGTCCCACACAACCCATTCCATCCCCCCACTAGCCATGTCCCACGCCTTGCCTGGTGGGTGCGGGGGTCCCCCTCAGCAGGTGGGCTGTGGCTGGGGGGCATCTCCCGGGACAGGGGGGGTAGCCCCCCCCAGATGGGTCTGCATGTGGCCGGCCAGCTGGGCAGGGGTCTTGCAGTGCACGCTGCACAGCTTGCACAGGATGCGGTCAGCCCGCGGGGCCTGGAGCCCATGGTCCTTCACCGCGTGGATGCGCAGGTATGCTGCTGTGGTGAAGCCTATGGGGGTGGGGTGGGGTGGTGGATCGGGGTCAGCCAGGCGGAGACCCCAGAGACAGGGCTGTTCTCCTCGGCTCGGGACACCCCCATGTCAGATGGCCCTGACCTCCTCCCACCACATCCTCGGTAGCCTGGGGCCAACTATTCTGCTGGGGCAGGTGGTCATAGCCTTTCCCCAAACTTGGGGCCTGGTTTGAGTAGTGCCAGCTTCTCAGCCTTGGAACCCACAGAACCCATTCTGTGTGGCTCGGCGATCTCTTCTGGTGGGACAGGACTGTGATACCTAGCCATTCGAGGGGTTGACCCTCAGCAGAGACGGCTGTGTCCCCTCCCTCTCATGTCCCACATGTTATTGCCTCAGTTACTTAGTGAATAGTTAAACATGTTTATGAGCAGTTTTTTCTGCTTCTGAGGCAAGTTAAACCCCTGCCGATGTACTCATTTCACCCCGGAGGCTGGAGACAAGAACTTGTGGCTGTGCTGTTGAAAGCGTATCTTTGAATTCAACTCCTGGGAACTGGCTTGCAGCTGTCCCACTCTGATTTATTTCCCCACCTACCCTCTAGAAGAATGACTTTGATAGATGGTCTCTTCCAATCAGGTTCTCTCAGACCTCAATGATGTTCACTCACCCCACTGCTGCTTCATTTGCCTCCTAAAGGGCTCCAGCTGATGCCATGAGTTCTTGGCTGCAGCGCTTTAACCCACAACTGACAAGCCTCTGGCTTTGTCCCCTCCCTGTGTGCCCACCCCCTCCCAGCAGCCCTCAGCATGTACCTTTGTTGCAGAGCTCACAGACATGGTGAGGGCCCTGGCTGTGCACCTTCATGTGGTCCGAAATATAAGCCGAACTCAGCATCTTGCCACACACGTGACATGGCACCTTCTCCTCGTGTCGTACTGTGTGTGCCCGGAGTCGATCCTTTGTAGCAAAAGCTGCCTCACATTTCTGGGGAGGGGGGAGGGGCGTGGGGGGATGTCACAGGAGAGTTAAAGCTTGGGGGAGTGGGGGAAAGGGGGCAAGAGGTTAAAGGGGTCAGAGCCTTGGGGATCTTTCATCTGTAGGAAATGGGATTGAGATGAAGAAGTCTTGAGGAAGGGATGAGAAAATGGAGTGAAAAGGCAAAAAGAAGAGAGAGAAAAAGGGGGTCTGAGAGGCTGAACTCAGACAGCTACAATGAGGATCAAAATCATGAAAACCAGGACAGCAGGAGGTGGGCTTCCTACCTCACATTTGAACGGCCGTTCTGTTGAGTGCACTTGTCTGACGTGACTGTTGAGGTGATCCGGCCTGGAGATATGGTGAGGGGTAGGGGGAATGGGACAAGAGTTAGGTTGGTGGCCCTTGGGATAAGCGGGTACCCCAAACCTTCCAACTTAATTAACACAGATGCATCTAAAGGCCCCAGCGCCTTGCTGCCTAAAACCTGGATGCTGGAAGTCCTAGTTCTGCAGGAAACCCCTCCCCTTGGCCAGGTCCCCTCCTCCTCCTCCCACTGGAAGCTTTCAACACAGGGCCCACCTCCTCTGCTAAGTACCACCCCCTGCTCCCTGGTAACCGGGAGAGGCCTGCCTCCCTCTGCCCCCCGCCAGTGGCTCCCGGTGCCCATCCTCCGGAGTCCGGGCCACCTCGCCGCCTGTCCCTCCCTCCCGGCCTCGCGGGGGGGCTGGCGGCCCGTGCACACCGGGAGAAGCTCTTGCCACAGTGGGAGCAGTTGTAGGGCTTGTGCACAGCGCCGTCATGTGAGCGCACGTGGTAGCTCATGCGGTCCTTGCGCTTGAAGCGCTGCTGGCACACCGGGCACTGGTAGGGCTTCTCGTCCGAGTGCGACAACTTGTGCCGGTTCAGGTGGTAGACGTCGCGGAAGGCCTTGCCGCACATCTCGCAGGCGTGGTTCTTCCGGATGCGCTTGCCCGACGCCGTGGTGGTCACCACGCCGCCCGCGGCCACCGCGGCC